TACACTTGCCTGAGAAGATACACTTCATTTTTAAGTGGAGAGCAGGACAATCCACTAGGAGATCCATTGGAAAGATACAGTTCCACTAACATGTGCTGAAAACACCCATCTCAATCTTACTCTTGGAGAGCTAGATATTTAATACTTTTTGCATCTTTACTGAAACAACCCTGACATTGGGAATATGAACCAGAAATTCTTCTATGCACAAATTCCCTGTACAAGAACAAAATTTGATCCTTATAATATTTAAGAGAATCGTATGTAAAGATTGGTGGCTATCAGCTAGATGCAAAGATCAATATACAGATCTGGATTATGGGATCAAATTTTATTGAAAACCTGGAGAATAGCTACATTATCAGAGCTAACAAACTGGGCAATGCCATATTGACAGCGAAATACTAGTCTTTATGTATAGTCTTTGGAATATTAAACACTAAAGCGTTAGACAAACTGTATCTGTTACGTAGGTTATAGATTGAATTCTTCACTCCCGTCCCTACCTCCAATAACAACAACCCAACAACAAAGTGACACAGAAGATGACAAAACTGATGGCACACGAGTCACCGTTCAGTGCAAGAAAAGTAACTGTAATGTTGACTTTTTCGTGTGCTTCTTGAAGGTATTTTGCATAGCAATAATCTATTTGAATTTGCCAGAGTATCCAAGAAAAAATAAATTCATTTTACCATTGAGAATGTGCCACTGAAGGAAGTGAGTAATCATGTGCATGCAGCACCGTCTGTGTACATTAGCAAATTTCATAATGGATTAGGCCATGTGGTAAAATTATCAGTCTCTGACATCACTGCCCTCAGGCAAGCAGTGAGTTAACACAGAACAAGTCTCTGGAAAAAGCTAAACAGTTCTGGGGGCCCCAACATAAGAAACATGTGGACCTGCTGAGTGAGTCCAGAGGAGGCCATGAAGAGGATCAGAGGGCTGGAGCACCTCTCCTATGAAGACAAGCTGAGGGAGTTGGGGCTCAGCCTGGAGAAGAGGAGGTTCCAGGGAGACTTCTGAGCAGCCTTCCAAGACCTAAAGGTGTCCATAAGAAATCTGGAGAGGGACTTACAATGACAGGTAGCGACAGGACAAGTAGGAATGCCTTTAAGCTGTCATAGGGGAGATTTTGATTACACATTTGGAAAAAAAAAAAAATTATCTTCACTATGAGGGTGGTGAGGTACTGGCACAGACTACCCCAAAAAGTTGTGGATGCTCCATCCCTGGAAGTGTTCAAGGCCAGGTTGGATGGGGCTTTGAGCAACCTTGTCTAGTGGGACATGTCTCTACCCATGGCAGGGCAGGTGGAACTAGATCTTTAAGGCTGGAAGGGTCTTTAAGGTCTTTTCCAACCCAAACCATTCTATGATTTTATGATTCATATACATGATGAAAAACCCAGCTGGCCTCCATGTCATTTTCAAAAATACTGAAAGGATAAATTCTGAATTTTCTTCATCTTATTGAAGATGAGACAAATAAAATGAATAGGATATTATTTGGTACTGGCATAGAAAGAACAGGGAAGGTGGAGCTTTTGCCTTTTAACAAAGAAGTAGCATGACAAGCTACAGGAAAACTGTATTTGGTTTTTGCCTTTCCTTTAGTCTTCTTTTTTTCTCATTTTATGCAGCCAAGTGAAAATCACCGCAGAGAATGAAGAGCTGCAGTCTGTGTCATAGGCTTGGGATGTACTTGCGCATGTGAGGTGGGTTCACAGCACTATGCTATGAGAAAGAGGGAAGAATAAAGCAGGAAAAGAGGCAATTGAGATACTTCTATATAGATAAAGCAAAGTATCAAGGGTTGCAAGAGAAAGAATATCCCCTCACTTCAAACAGAAACACCTTTTGGGGGGAATTAGATGGCAAAGGAGTCATATCTAAGGCTGCAGCCAGTTAATCCTGGCAGTGAAAAGGCTGAGGGTTTTTAGTTTTTTAGCACTTTAGTTTTTACATTCAGGAGTAAAGTGGAAAGTGTGATTAAAACAGAGCCACATCAGTTTTAGAGATGTCAGTGTTCTTCAGCTGAATGAGAAGTTAAATGAAAAATACATCACTGTTTTCAGGAAGGCCTGGTGGAACAGAGGCTTGCATTAAGATACTGCAGACAGCAAAGGGAGTAGAGGCTCTTTCTAAACTTTTTCAGCAAAAGAAGTAAGGTTTAATCTAAAACCATGAGCTAGTATTGAGATACTGTCAGTCCTTTGAAGCAGTCTTATGCAGTGGTTATAGGATGTCTGTAGAAGGCATTGACACAGAGGATTCAATATTTGAATTTTTCACCCATGAATGGAAGAAAGGGCATAAAAAGAGAAACTTCCATCTGTATAGTCCTTGAGTGGCAAAAGGTCTCCTTATGTCTACGAGATTGTTTTCTGTGTGCAACCCACAAAAAATAAGAATTCTGTACACTCTTTACCTTATGTTTCTAAGTCCTACACCTATTAGGAAACTGTAATTAAGTAAGTGGCTATGGGAAGTAGTGCATACAACAAAACCATATTGTCCAAGGCAGCTTCCTGCATGCACAGATACCTACACCTGATTGTCAGAATCTACACTCACAGAGTCCTCTAACAAAATGCTATTCCTAAACTATATAACAACTAGATGTTAAACTGTTTCTCTTCTGGTTTTCCAGATTGCAAGCAATATGACTGAGCTCTCTAATTACGCTTATGCATATGAGGGGCAAACAATAAAATTTAAGAAAGCAAGAAGTAGGTTACTTAAAGAAAGGGAAATTAAAAAAAAAGAAGAAAAATCATATGAAATGGAAAATTTTCCTTACAATTTTGGTTAAGAAATAATTCTCTAGCTTGAACAATGAAAGCCCAACCACATGTAATGATCAAAATTGGGTCATCAAAAACCACAGATGGTAAATTCACAACAGTTTTGAACTATCTATATTTTCAGTCTTGGATTTCTGCTTTTTCTAGAGACACCCCCCTCCCCCATTTCTCCTTATTCTAGAAATATGGCATTGAATGTATTATACAAATCAGCACTGAACAGCACCTATGAGAGTATCTGAGAATGTTAATTTCTACACTGTATTTCAAGAATTTGAACTTATTTTGATGTTAAATATTGTTCTCTTATTAGTTCTGAAAACTGTGAGGTGACCTATACACCAAGCTTCTCAAATGTAATTGTGCAAAGATATGAACAGCTTTTTTTTTTTTTTTTAATACACAAAATTCAAAGTTTTGTGCCAAACTTACACACTAATGCTTCTGGGTACAAGAATTCTTAGTTTCAGTAGACCACATCTTACTCTGTAGCTTTTAAGACATCAGGTTTCTGCTTTTCAATGATGAGTTACATTACTATTAGTGGTGCATCAAACTATAAATTACTGAAATCTGGGGTCATAAAAGCCTATGAGTGAAAATGAACTGACACTGCATAGGACAAAACAGAAAAGAAGGATATACTGTCTTTGCAGATATGACAGAGAATTTGAGGCAAGTATCAGAAGCTGCCCCTGTGACGCCTCTGGTTCTGATATGCATTAATGTTTTGAACAACAAAGCCACAAAATACAAATTGTTATACCTCAAGTTACTGTCATTTTTTTTTTGCACAGTTGCAATGGATCTGATCAAAGCCCTCCATGATTTCATTAGAGTAATACAAGCATGAGCATAGAGAGTTACAGGCAATGTTTTTGTGGCTAACACCTTGCTGAAAAAGTATTCAAGTTAGTAAACAAGAGAAACAAAGTTGCTTCAGATGCACTACTTTTATGTTGACAACCAATATAATTCAAACAGAAATACTAACATTCATACATTTGGAGGTCAGGAAAGAAAATTCACAGCACTAATCTTGTTCTACTTTTAAAATACAGAGAGATACAGTACTTAGAAAATTCCATTCAACAGGAGTAGTTGTTTTCACATAGTAAGAAATACGGCTGATCAATATGCAAGGCACCAGTTTGTTTCATTTTAGTACTGAGTTACTTTTGACCTTTGTGACCTTAAGAGAAAACTGCATCCAAGCGAAAGCAATGTGTGGTTTGCAAGCCAAGAGAAGGATAGTACAATTTCATCCTAATGCCAAAGAGACCACTAATAAAAAATCCACATGAATTATCTTTTATAATACTTAAAATGTCTGATGTTGCATTCAGCATGTAACCCTGCACAGTGTCACATACGGCCTTATACTTTTACACCAATTCTGAAGTTTCTATGAGCTGGAAAAAGAAGTAATACAACACGTTGAAGTATGACAAACAAAGTTGGAAAACTTCATAGTGTCTAGCACCTACTGAATAGCCTTTAAGATGCACAAATGAGAAGATGGAAGACTGATTAATTCAACCTCATCACCTCATCTTTATGACAAAGCATAACTACACCAGATAGTGCATATATAGTGCACCAGCAAGAGGGTAATATCTCTTTTAAATAGTTAAATAATCTAACTGATGAATTTTACCAATGTTTTTCACTTTTTCTCCTCTCCAAACTGAATAAGAAGAAAGTATTCAAAATAGGAAGAGGAGGTTTTCCCCAAAGGAAGAAATCCCTAGAACTGGATGTAAGATACTCCACCTGGGAACAATCAAACAAAATGTACACGTTCCTGTCACACTCACTCTCAGCAACTATAAGATCATTTTCCCTTGACCTGTTAGATTTCACATCTTAGACTGACATTATATTGCTACACATTTACTAAAACAAAGGGAAAACCAAACTACAGCTTCAAAAGGCATTTGTTTTGTATGCAAACAGGTAAAAAAAAAAATTGTCTTTGTTGCAGTTGGCACCTGCAACAGAATTTTGGTCATTAATTTCTTAAAAATTAAGGACTTAAAAAAATTAAAAGATGACATACACAACGAAACACTATATTCCTTTTCAAATAATTCATATTCTTATAAGAACAAAACTTAGAAAAAATACTATAACTCTATGACACTAATTTGTAAATATAAGTAACAGAATTCACAGTCATATTGGTACTTACCCACTAAATGCCTGGACTGCATAAAGCTTGGAAGTATCCAAGGAACTTCCACTTACTATCCGAGCCTTCAGTAAAGACCAAAAAAACATCAGTTACTCAGTTGCTTTTAGTAAGCCTTAGACAGAATTTAACTGTATAACACATGTAAGACCTTATATGAAAATGTTTAGCAGGGTCAGCTCCAGGCCAAAGCTAGAGTAACTATTGCTTTAGGAATAAATTTTGACAGCATTCAGCATTTAATGAAACACACTGGAAGAACCCATGGGAAGATAAGATATTGCTTCCCAAATATTGTTGTCCATTAAGTCCTATAGTGTATGCAGTATAGATGATAATTAGAGACAAAAATCCCAGATAACTTGTTTGACAGTAGCAGACCCCCGTGTTGGCAATTATGATAAACACAAGATTGACAGTTATCCTGTTCATAACTGCAACACATTTGCAATACACTCAAAGGAGAACAAAAGAGTGAAAAGCTGTGAAAAACATGCAGATATCACAACTAAAATGAAGGAATCAAACAGGTCAAATAAGTCACGAACAAACATCAACAAAATACATGATCCCTATAGTAAATACGTGATTTTAAACCTTTTCATCCACAGAAACGCTATCTGGAAGAGAATTGGGAAGAAGGGGAATATAGGTTAGACAAAATACTCTTCGAGAAAACTTCTTATGCTATAAAAAGCTGTCACTATTTTAATCTGCTAATGAAGAGCAGAATCCCAGTAACACCTGTGCTTAGCTGTACCACTGTGGCAAGACCATTGTCATCATATTTTAAACAAGAAAAAAAATGTTTTCAGTAGATAAGAATCCCTGCTACTTCTGCAGGACTGTGTGGATACTGTTTAATACATACTGTAACCCAGCACAATATGATTTTTAGGGGTTTTGTTTTGTTTTAGGGTTTTTTATATTATTTAATATAGTTGCAGTGTTCAAAAAAATAATGCTCTGTTTTCAAGGAAAATGAAGGTGTTTCTACTAAGGATATATATATTAGAAAACCCAAACAAACACCCAAACTCCTGAACTGTAGCTATTCTATTCTACCACAGCAATTCATGTAATAACAGAAATTACCCCCAAATGCAAATGGAATTACAATTGGGAAAGTATAAGGTATACATTTATATATAAAATTATAAATTGCTTAATGCAAAGATGTGACGCATTCACATTTACTATAAGACAGAAAATATATGCTGAGAAGGAGCATATATTATACACAGGGAGCACTACCCTTATTTTATCATCTTGTCAGTTTGATGCTTTATAGTACAGTGCATACATGAAACTGCATTCTTTTAATTGTCACCTTACTGATCTTTCGACTTTTCCTCCCTAGTTCAGTAATTTTCAGATGTTTGAAAATATGCCACGTTAAATACATTATAAAATTATCATATACACCTTAAACATCTGCCACGTTTCATTTTTAAACCAGTTTATCTACAAGAAAATACCAAACATATACATTAAAGATATACTGGAAAATATAAAGGTGCATACATTTTCATGGCGACAAGCCAAGGAACTATAAGGCTCTATTGTGCCACTGATTTCAGAGTCTACTAATGTGATCAAAGTAAAGCACTGGCACAAGAACAAGCAATAGAACTGAGACTGGAGCTAAGTTGTTCAAAATGTGTTTTACCAGTCAGATTATATTTGATTTTGTATTATTAAAAAAAAAAAAATTAAAGAGGATTGAGATACTAAGTATTAGCAATACCACAACATCAAATTTGAATCCACACAAAATTCAACTATGCAACAGCCTCCTCTCCTTCGTGAGACCACCAAATTTGCCATTTTCTTATCCTTGACTACAGATCTTAGCTTCTCTTTCACAGTCACTGTGAATAATCCATTTAGAAAGAGTATGTCTCAGAATGAACTACAGTTTATTGTTCCAAGAATAACTTACATTTTGAGTTATACAGAATATTAAAACTATGCTAATAATAAAATCCATTATTTAGTAAAAATAGAGTAAGACATCTTACTGTATTTTCTCACTTCAAAATTCCCCCCTTCAGAAATACTAGAATTTTTATTTTGCCTCAAAAATTAATTCATGACTAAATTAAGCTACAGTGTTGTAGTTGTCAGATTACCCTTGTTTGACTGGGTAGATTTTTAAAAATGAGTTTAGTCTTTATTTTTAATTGTGAAATGTATTTGTCTGACAACATCAGACATGACGGGCTACTCTTTCCTCACAAGCATAACAAGATTTGGAAGACCATATCATCCTACTTTCCCATTATAAGAATATTACAGCATTTTTATAAGCAGGCTAAGAGCAGAGCCAGGAGCACCTAGACACCTGTAAACTGGGCTGGCTGTGGATACAAAATGGGATATGCTTTTAGGAGGGGTAAAGGAAATAAAAGGAATATTAAAACCAAAGTGCTGGAGCAGCATCTTGGCAGATGGAATGAGAGGAGAGGCAAGAGAGGATATATCAACAGGTGAAGAGAAATAAGAGGACTGAGGGAAGTTTTAGGCAGAACATCTCTTATAAGGTAAGAAGCCTCACCATCTGTTCATGCAAACTGTAACTTCTTTCTACACTATCTAATCATACCAGTATTTGTAATACTGCTATTTAAAGATGTATAATGAATCTCAGTATTACAGATGTGGAATGCAACTTTTAAATAGTTTGCAGGTAATTTCCTATCAGCTGCCTAAAGAATCCCATCAATTATATGTTTAATTTTGTTGTTTATAAAGTTATATTAGAAAAATACAAAATTGTTAAGACTTGTTCTCTACATTAAATGGAATTTTGTATTTCAGAGCATGAGAGATAAACATATGAAATTTTCTTTACCTCTCTTGGGTTTCAGCCAGCTTCATCTAATTTCACTACATTTCCTTTACTGGAATCTAATTTTGCCTAAATTTAGGAAGGAGAGCAACAATCAAAAATTAGGAAGGGAAAAAAGGTATTACGTTTTTGGTTTAACTTGTTTTTCTTTGCAGTTGCTACTTAGGAAAAAAAAAAAGTACAACTCCAACAATGCAGCAGCCTAATGGCCTCTTTTCTTAATAGAAATTGCATAAAGCAGACAACTGATGCAAGTTTTCCAAAACAAGATATTGAGAACATCTCTTTTGTCACAAATGACTGCAACTTCAGAGAAAAAATTAGTTTGAAAACTTCTTTGTTTATTGCTTCTTCTGAACTCACCATGAGTGAAATAATCTGAACTATGGAAGTTTTCTCTGTGTATATGAAAGCACCAAATCAAGAAGCATACAGTCACCAAGCAATTCACTTTAGTAGTCATCAGACTACCAGAACAGACAGCAACGTTCCTTGATGTAGATGAGAAATGAACTGTGATTATGTAAGAGACCACTGAATGTATTTTTAATTCAGGGATACAAGGCTAGACATCTCAGATTATACTGCTGAATGACAGTGATTTACTTAAAAGAGTTTATCTTCATACAATTCATTTCCATCATTCACACGTACTATTTCAGGAAACTAACATAAAAAATTGTGAGTGTACTGAGAACAATATAAATGCTGGTTCATTTAGTTAACCCTATGGGTTACTACTTAGATTTTTTTCTCCTTAAATACTTATTTTACAATAAAATTCACTACAATGTGAAATACCTGTAATAGCCTTCAAGTTCTGTTTTAGAAAGTAAATCTATCTTCTATACCATGTGCATTTTCAGATAACTGGGGAGTGTTTCACTACAATTATAAGAAAAATCCATGGAGTGCTCCATAAGCATTGCTATTTTGCACCTGTGTAGCGGAATGAAGTGTGGTCATCTATCTACTTACTACAGAAACTTCAAATTCATATATATTTAATTAGGTAATTGGTAAAAAGAAGAAAAAACTTAACTAAGGATACCATAGTGGTACAAGGTAGAAACAATTTATATCACTAGACAAGGAAGCAGAAAATGTATCATATCATTAATTACAGCAAGCAAAGCATAATGGACAGCTATTGTATCATATTTCTCCAAATAAGCTCATTGCCTATGCTGAATTCTTAAGCTTTGGTGACAGAACACAAAAACTTTAGGAAGGAGAAGACGGTCTTAAGGAGTATTTAGCAAACCGTATTCTAAAATGCACCTGCTTAGCTACAAAATTCTCTCCAGCTCTGTACCATTCTTTACCTCGTCTAATCCTCCTCCCCTTTTACTACCACTCCGTGAGCCTCCCATAAACAAACATAAACCTTTAGATAAGCATGAAATTAGAGGTATTCACTAGTTAAAATTAGTCTTTAAGCTTCAATTAATAAAAGGTTCAAGGTACTAAAAGGCTGTATAGCTTCAACATACCAACTAAATCTAGGCTTCTGTTGACCACAGTTCAGAAATATCCAGAGGTTAGTCCCCAGATGGGGGGAATTGTAAGGGAATGGAGTGAGAGAGGCTTATTTGCCATTCTTCCAGCCCTCTCAAATAAATCCCTAAGTTACTTTCTGTACACATATATGTTTAAAGGTTTTGAGAAGGCTAACTAAAATTTCCCACAAATGTTTATTAATGCTGCATAATAACTATTCAGACTCAGTCTGGAAACTAATAGATCTTATAAAAATTAAACTTTACACTGTTATCAGCTGCTTTCAAATTAATTCATGGTCTGACTTACCCATTTCTAATAGCAGTGTTGTCACCTGTAACTTACAATACAACACAAGAATTTATCATACAAGATAACTAGTTTCTATACCCAAACTTCTCAAAAGAAAAAAAAAATCTTGAAAGAATGCTGATTAAGGCAGAGTCTTCTTGCATGAAAGATAAACTAGTAAGGGAGATACCGAAGTCAAGACAGACCTTTGCTTTTGTAGCTTATGATACTATCAGAAATACAAACGATCAATAGTCTCATCAGTCAGCAGATATATTTAGATCAAAGAAGTTCAGCAGATTCTCTGCTCTTCAGTCACAAGTATCCTTTAAGCCTTGTGTCATTATTTCCCTTTTACATTTTTCTGAGCAGCAGAGCATCATCCTAATACATTTTCTTTAATCATTTCAAAAATATAAATCACCACACACACCCTGTGCTATAGCACAAGAATGGTCATCAGGTCCTAAAATCTACACTTCCTAGGAACTATGTATACTGCACTACTTTTCCATTCTTGTATGAGTGCAAAATTGTATAACACCAAATTGGAAACAGATTTAAAATTCATTATTCTCTGAAAGTATCATTTTAATCTCTAATTCTGCAAAGCAGTTGCAAGAACGTCAAACTGACTCATAACTATGTCATTCCTGGAAACAAACCCTTTAGACATAATACCTGCTGGAATTAAAATAACAATACAGCTGATCCATGGAAACAACATATGTAAAGTAGCCATAGTCAGAAGTAGTTTGTAGTCTGAGCCGGACAATTCTAATTAGTATGCATTGCTAAAAATAGGTTCAAATAAGAGCAGCACATTAAAGAAGCAAATTGTCTGTCCAAAACAATAACAGAAATTAAGTCATGCTAAAATAATAAATGCTGTATCCAGAAGCTAATATTATCACTACAGAACAAAATATTACAGTATGTAAGCTTAGAAGATACTGTGTTTCTGAAGCATATTCTAGG